CACAATGTGGTTGTCACATTAATTTTAATTCATAGTGCTATAAATTTGCTTGAACCCTATTTTCCGACAGTTTGCTCATGTACTTTGACAATTTAGGCTACCAATGTCAACATCCGAGTATCACACAAGTCGTTTTCACTTCATTCAGCTCGACATTCTCTTTCGGATTCGCTCTCTTACGATATTAAAACAGTCGAAAGTCCCATTTGGTGCCGGTGGTAATTACGTTAACTTGGATGTGCACAACACTGAAACAAAGAACGCAATGCTTCCATTTATATAGAGCGGTTTTCATTTGAGTGTCGAAAGTAATTAGACAATGCCTTTGGTTTTGGTTTTGGTTTTGGTTTGAGACTGGCTGGTCTGATTGGCAAGTAATTGGTTTGGTTTTGGTTTTACGACACTCAATTGAAAAGCACTCTGCTTCTACATCGCTATTTATAGGACATTTGACGGAAAAGCGATTTTTCTTGTCCGATGTCGACTTAGTGGACAAAAATGTGCCCCATGGCTGTGATTTCTCTGTTTCCATTGTCAGGGCGTACAGCAGCAGCGTTTCCACACGCGTTGGAATCGTCAGGATACCTTCCTGTACCAAACCCGATTCTGGAGTCACAAGTCCAACAGTCGTTTTGCTCGTTAGCAATAAAACCGATCCTTGCCTTGGAATTAGAATCCTTGAAACAACGAGCATTAAATCCTTCATATTACAATTTATCTGTAAGGAGGCCTGGCGACCAATCAGCGTCTTCCAAGTGTCCCGACCCAGTGAAGTGTTGCGATATTGTCCGTCAGCAATCAGCGAGTACAAAGACTCAGCTGCCTGGTTTATGACGAGAAAATTGATATTTTCCTCGCCGCGGATTTTCATTCCGAGACAAATCTTGGTGAATGGTGTGTCCCAGTAGGTCGTCAATTTGGTTTCTTGAGTGTCAAATACAGCCTCTCCTCCTGAAACATTGAATGTTTCCTTGTTGCTCCAAAGGTCTGAATCATAGTGAAATGTTTCCTGAGAGACAAAATGTCGACATACCATTATGTTATGTTAAAAATCTATCTATTTACCTAATTTAATATTTCCGCTGTGATCTCGCGGCATTCCCAGCTCTGAAAATTATGTACGTTATTCATCCGTTTTGTTTTAATCTTAATATCAAGAAAATCTTATGGGTTTTGCTAAAAAAAAAAATACCCTCTTTATTTGTGATTACTATGACTTTTAATAACCTTTGAGCCGTCAATCTTCATGACAAGTGTCCGGTGTTCTTCTCTGCACACCCCAAGACCACAGTATGGGTTTCTTCTGTTGGTCCTGTGGAGTAAAAGTCCCACAATCTTACAACAGAATATAAAATTATCAACATTCTATATCTGGATGATTTATGCCACATATATGTGCAATTAACTCCGTGAAACGCACTTGTAATTTAAGAACAGGGTTTTTTGAATAATTCTTAGCTCTTGCTATTGCTAGGAGGGAGTAGTCAGTGTGCACAACTGACGCAATGTGATCAAGCTCAGACGACGAACGTCATAAAATAGCGAATATTTCTTGCGATATGATCATTTGCATGTTCTGAAGAGTAAGGTTATGGGCGATCCTTTTGTCCAGCTCTCTTCTCTTCATGAAGAGTTCGGATCTCCAAGTCTTTTTAATTGTCTTTCTACTAATTGTATGACAACATAAGTGCACTTTTCTGCAATTAGCAGAGTTCCTATTTCTCTTTTTAATTTACGATGACGTTTGTTGTTCATTTCTCTTTTAATCACCTTTCCTTTCGTTGTAAGCCTTATTTACTGTATCTCGTTTTAGCTGGATTCTTCCTATCGTTTTAAATTTTGCTAAATATGGCTTATCTGTATGATTGTGAAACTACTTCAAGCTAACAAAAAACGCTCTTTGATCGTTTCCACTCACAAGTTCTTCTCGTAAAGTTCCTTGCATTCTGGAACTAGATCAATAAAGAAGAGTGAGAACTTAGAAGGAAATCGACCGAACTGGCTCCTTCGCAGAGGCCTCTTTCGTGCTGCTTTGACTGTAGGCTGGTGGTTCGGAGGTTGTGAAGAGGGAAAAACGAAAGTGCGCGGGGAACACCGGCAAGGAAAAAGACAGAACAGAGGCTCCCGCCGTTTCCGTCCTCCAATCGTCCCCCGCGCGCCTTCCGGCTCTCAATTCAATTTCCCATAGGGAGCCTCTGCGAAGGAGAGAGGACCTAGCCTGTATTGGAGTGAAACAATACATATGGAAAGAAAGTATTTACACATTGGTGGAAACATGGCTTAATTTACTTGTTTTGTTATGTCGGTGAAGAATAAAGAAAGATTTCGTAATGAGACAATGATACTATGTTCGAGAAATTTTTATAATTTAAGATTGTGCGAACATGGAACAAAATTGGAAACATAACGTGAAAAAGCACACATTCTCATTATTTGAAATTTCTAATTTTCAAGGAATCATTTAGATTAAAGGGTAAAATTCACCATTTCGACCAAATCTTTTCTTTTTTCTTTTTATTTTTAAAGAACGTTTCACCTGCGCAAACTCGTCCATCGCCATAATATGGGGGTATGCAAGTGCATTTGTATGATCCCATGGCATTACCGCAGACAGCATTGACATTGCAGTCGTCTGTTCCTAAAGCACACTCGTCAGTATCTAAAAGGAAATATATGTGGAATTTTGTCCGATCGTTAGGTCAAGATGGTTGGATTTTGGCCATTTTTTTCCCAACGGTTATTGAACAAGGCACAGTCAAGGTTCATTTACAAGCAGAAAAAGAACGAATTCAACAACAAGCCTTCTAGGCCGAGAAACCTAACTTATTAACGGGAATATGCGATGCTAAAAAGAACGCCACATTCTTTTGGGAACAGAAGGTGATCACTATAGCATGCGAGATGACTCCTTCTTGCCCGCTCGAGTAACCATCCATTTACAGAGGAGGATAAAGGTTCATCTGGCCAGTTCGCAGAGCTATAATAAATATGTTTAACTCATGTCTTTCAGTTCCTATGAAAGATGTCATATAAAACGAACAATTTTCTCTGCTTCTGTTGAAAATTTGTTAAAGAAATACTGTCTGTCACGCGGTCTTTTGAGCCAGTTCTGATATGATCCATTTGATTTTGTTTAGACAACGACAAATATCAATAACTTGAATCTGAAAGCAATTTAGCTACGATGAAAAAAGAAATGTAACAATCCAGAAGATAAATTAGGAACCCTCTGGGGTGGAAGCGCGCGGTGGATAACACCTAACCTCCGATATAATTATTATTATTATTATTATTATTTTTAAATCATTTTTGAGGCAGATTTCATCTGTGGTGCTGAAACTTTCAGTAGCTGTTCATTCATCACGAAGCAAAGTAATGATATTGATATATGTATAACCTCAAGAACAACGAAACTACTCATTCTTCAGTTTATGCTATCTTTAGATCCCTAATATAGCAACTGCTTTGTTTTTACGCATCTCCCCGAAGAAAACTAGGAATCGATGAACTAAAAAAAAAAACTTCACATAAAAAATCAGATTTCGCTCCATGTTTGCCTCTTATTCATGATTGCAGAGAGGGAGTAAGTCTGAAAATACATTCACCAAGACAACGTCGTCCATCTCCAGAATATCCAGGTTTACAAGAGCAGTTATATGATCCCTTAGTATTATTACACTCAGCGTTAGCACTGCAGTCGTGAGTTGATTGAATACATTAGTCAATATCTAGCAATAGTAAAGATACAACGTTTAATGAAATAAATATGTCAAAATATGGGAATTCAAAGACTTTGTTCGCAAAATAATCTCTATAAATATTGATTTATTTACTGAGTGAACTATTGCTTGTTGATTTGATTCGCAAATATCACAAACTCCTTAAATCAAGCAATATTTCTGCAGAAATATAAACTATGTTTGCCATAGATGGTTTAGCTTTTTGAGAAATTCAGTGTTGTTTATTCAAAGTGTGGTACAGCATTATTCGATTAGGTTTAATAAGATACATGCTAGCGATGTTAATACTTTGAAACTGTTTCCTAAAAAAAGCACTTTCCTCTCCTATATTAGCTGTACGGAACATTTCACCTTCGCATAGCCTTCCGTCTCCAGAATATGCGGCTAAACAACTGCACAGGTATGATCCCTTGATGTTATTGCATGCGACGTCAGCACTGCAGTCGTGTGTTCCTGAGGAACACTCGTCAATATCTGAAAACATATATCCTTGCACATACATGCATGAATTTCCTTTTACAATGTATTTGTTTCAACACAGCTTTGTTTTTAGTGTCTCAGGACATTTCAACGACTCGCGCAGTGCAGCACCGTACTGTAAAAAACATCTGACGAATCGCATCGTCTGACGCTATCCTGGTTACATCGTTGTTTCTAAGCAGTGAATATTTTGTCCGCTGAAAAATGAGTTATATTCTTTAGCAGACACTTCTTCTTGTTCAGGGACAACAATTTTTGTCGCGATGAAAACACTTTCTAATTCTAATTCTAATTTCTAATTCTGGAATCGGATGAAAGTTTAAGCTAGGCCAATGTATCCACTTTTTGGAGCTTACATGAGTAGTTAAAAAGTACAGTCGTACCTATGCCGCTGATATTTGTATTCAGCAAAATGTTTCATGATCGTTACTGTTGTTGTTGTTGCTTTTGTTTGTTTGTTTCAGAGTTTTTTTTTTTTATTTTTTTAGACTTTGCTTTCACATTGGTGTACTGTTACCATTACATTACTTTTAATAAAATGACTGAGCTACTGCGCGCGCTCTCATTGGTCGACAGGTGTGTTTAGATGAGAGTATGTAAACACGGTTGTGGCGTTTTAGATTCGCGCATATTTTTGAGAATTATTTTATATAGCGCACTGTTTCCGTGTTTACATAGCCTCATCTAAATACTCGGGGGGCTGGGAGAATTCTCGAATGTTATGCAAACCCGAGACTACGTGTCGGGTTTGCATAACTGTCTCAAATTCTCCCAATCCTCCTCGTGTTTAGATGAGGCTATGTGAACACGTAAAAAGTGCTCTGTTGCTTTAATCTTGAACGGAAATCTTGCGCCCAGGATAAACGATCTGTCACGAAGTAGAGAAAACACGATTTTTTACTATTATTATGTATCCGACAACTGTTTACCTTGGCAATTTCGTCCATCTCCAGAATATCCAGGCTTACAAGAACATTTGTAAGATCCATTAATATTTTTACACTCAGAATCAGGACTGCAATCGTGGGTTCCTGATTCACACTCGTCAATATCTGTGGAAAGGTGACATTTCATCAATCTGCAAGTCTAGAAGCTAGACGCTTGACAACAAGCAAAATCCCATTTTGTTGGAGATTTTATGGGAGGGCTCAATCAATGAACTGAAAATCTTGGTATAGCAACCCCATCCATACTCTCGTTTATGTGCCTCAGCATGTTTTCAACTCTTTCCATCTACACATAAATAATGTTCCGGTATTCGAACGAAGGCCAACTATGCCATAATTATATTTTTACTGAACAAAGTTACCTCACCATTTTGGCAGTCCGGACCCTCAAATCCAGCTCGGCACAGACAGCGGTATCCTTTGTCTGTAAAACCAGTTTGACAGGTTGCTTCGTTCTTGCAGGGGTTATTGACGCAAGCGCTCTATTAAAGAAAACAAAAATGATTGAAGAAAAGTAGAATTGTCTCTTTTATTTTCATTCTAATGAAAATAATGATTTTCTGAGCAATATGAAACTTTTCTCGTAATTCTCTGACCACACTGAGAAGGCGAGAAAGAATTTAACCCTAGGAGACCATGACTTGATATCTTTGATTGCATTTTTTAAAAAGAATTTTCCAACTTAAAAGTGATGATCTTTGCTACCACCTCCGTAAAAGCTCTTACGACTGCTTTCTTTTGCCCAACGTAAAGCTCTGATCACTCACCCAATTTCTAAAAACATCACAGAAAATTTGATGTTGTTGAAAGCCAATTTCTCCTCGAATATTACACCAAAAGAGCCAAAAATTTCACCACTTACTAAGTTTCACAAGCTTTCTAAGTTGTTCTAGTAAAATCGTGTCTAGCATGATGCCTTCTATGCGCAAAGTCGTATGTTAATGAGGAAAATGTAAACAATGACGTCTATTGAAGGGGCTTGAAACCTTATGTAATACAAAGTGCTTTATAAACTGACCCGGGAATTTCAGGTGAATGATTAACTAAACCCTGCGAAAAAAATAGTAATAGGCAACAAGCAAAGCTTCTTGCATGAACTGAAAAATAATAATTCTGAGAATAAACTTTCACAAAGGACTTTTTTCTCGACTCCATGCTTACAGCAAAAAAAAAAAAAAGGTTGTTAAAACACTGTCCATTAACGCTGTAACACAATGTTGACAGATATGAGCCAACGTTTTCGTGACTCAAATGAAACCTTTCGTAGCGTCCGGTGACGTCGCCGTTAGCTGATGTACGCCCGAACGATTGTGATTAAAGCATTTCCCGACCAACAAATGAACGGACAGTGACCCGCCAAACCATACAAAGGTCTCTTAAATCACAGCTTTCCAAAAGTGTATTACATCTTTGGATTTAAATCAACAATAATGTTTTTTTTTTTTTTCAAACAAATAGATATTACCCAGTCCCTTGGTACTTCGGAACATGGCTAATTAATCTGGGTTACTTGAACTAACAGCTGCAAGCTGCCGTTAACTCTGATCAAGAAATTAACCAGAAGTTTTAAATAACCATTTGATTTGAGCTATTTGAGCTACCCGTTCCATTTTTAGCGCAACACTCGAAGTTACCTTACCTGTCCTAGAAATGTCAAACTCACGTACACAATTCACGGGTTAAAAGCTAATCCCACATGTATTTCACATCATTCGAGCAATCATTGTTACCTTAATTCCACGGTATACGTAATCTGGGTTTTCCTCCAGGTCATTTTTGTTTCCTTCATGAGTAGCATTATTCAATTCACATCTGTGCCCCTCATTTTCACTCATCGTCTTCAAATTATAACTTTCACAGTTGTGCTCTATGTAACATAGCGCATCACAGAAATCTGTGATCATGACGTCATGAGCCCTGATCGCGTGATTCACGAGACGTTTGCCCTGGAATGTTTGTTCGGCTGTGAACTCTAGGTGACGACATTCGTCTGCAAAAAAAAGTGTTCTTGTTGATTATTATTTAACCTGTCTCTTTGGTCGGTTATAAATTCGTTTTCCACTGCGCACAAACGTGTACGATTCGTCAAAGTAGCGTTACGATCACTGCGATTTGTTGAAATGTTTATTATCATTACTCTTTTGCTTTTGCTTTTTGGTTGTTTTGTTTTTTGTTTGTTTGCATTTCCTTTTGTACATTAGGTTTGATTTTCTTGATTTTCTTGTTTTCTCTTGTTGTTAATATTAAGGTAATCCGCTGCCGTACGGGTGTTTATTTTGTTTGCGCGACAAGTTAATTTAAAAAAATGCGATGTAATCAACGCCTTCACCATTCGTGCCAATCGTACGAATCGTTAAAACGTTTGTGCATGCACGGCGTTGCACCGAATTATGTCAATGAGCCAACCTGAACCGATTTTGACCCAAAAATGATATTTTACGGATAGCTAGTGGATTCAACTTCGGCTTTTACTGTTTGTTCGAATGGCACAAATGCTGGACGAACTTTAAAGAATCGTACCGGATCGTATATTGCATCTCTATTTGAGAACGAGGAGAGGGGTTCATTGTTTATGGGAGATCGATCATGCCAAACAGTTCAACAGCGATTGGAGTTATGCGAGTTATGGTATTGTTAGGAGAGAAATATTCTCCTCTGAGAAACATGACGAATATTTAGTGTAGTTTCATTGCTACTTCTCTGATCTACTCCTGATAAATATGGTCTGGCATCTTTGAAGAAGTCATACAAACTTGGATATATATGAATAAAACTGTTTTGTTATTTTCCGTCTCCCAGATAGTGTCATCCGAAAATGAAAAATACAAATAATACTAAAAATGGCCATCACGATTGGGAACAGACAGGAAAAAATTTAAACCCTAGCAACCGACATGTCTTCCTTGAAAATTTAGTAGAAAACTAAAAAAAAAAGACAAGAATATGGAAAGGAGAAATTTACCTTCAGAACAGCTTTTCTTGGGTATCAGAAACCACAGCACGAGGAACTGAACGCAATGTTTAGAAAGTAAATACATCCTGCCAATATGAACTCAAGAGGTTAGATAAAAATATCACAATTCCATGGAAATCTCTTCCAAAACTTTACAATACGAGTTTAAAATGAAAACAATTTTAGTTTTTTTTAAAATTATTCTTGATGCTATTTTCAAAGATTAATTAATTTCTTTTTTAATGTCAATTTTGACCAATGGTTTTTTTCATGATTCACTCAACCATTCAAGTATTTGCGTTCTTGTCAGTATCTTTTGTCAACTATTGTCTTGAAAAGGCTGATAGGTGTGGTGTCCAAATACAACGTATGAGGTTACATTTGAATTGAGCTGTTTATGCCTACAGTTTAACGGCAATGCAGGTTTGATAAAAAAAATAAAAAAAAAAAAAAGAAAGAAAGGGATGTATTTCGCTAGCCAGAGAGATATTTCATCGTTAACCAGTGGAATCTAATAACACTTACTTTGCCAACAAACAGCTGGCTTCAAGCAATGTGAACTGATACCCATTTACAACAAAGAAAAGCATCTGCGATGCCCTATCAGGTCAATAACCCCGCGGGATTGAAACTTTTACCTTTTCGAGTCTTTCAAATGAAATTTTCCTTTTCTCCCAAAGAAAAAGTCACAGCACAAGTAATCGATCACTAGATTTTTAATGACATGGGACAAAGAGAAAGAGAAAATGAAGCGAAAGTATAAATGGGATGTGCCAGATAGCAGGTTAGCGAATTCGTCAGTTAACTATTGTGAAAGCACTTTGAAGACTGCGTCTGTGAGCTGTTTGAAAGTATTTGTATTAAACTTTAGAGATATTTCATTTTATAGTCCGACTCTAATATGCAAAATTGGAAGATGAAGAGAACTCAGGGCAGCTTGCGATGAGTAGTTTTGTTTTATTGATGTCCAGAAAAAGAAAACAACTGAAACAGAACTATTCAGCCAGCACGTTATACAAAAAAAGTCGTCTCACGACATCAGTCAAAAATAAAAACTACTGGAAAACATGGAGAAAAAAATGGGTATTTCAAATTATACATAATTATACAGTGTGATAATACATTATGATTTTACTGATACATTTATGTGGAGTATAATCAAAATCTAGACTAGACAAGATAACAAGGACTTTTATAGGTAACCATAAATAGAAAGTCAAACAGTAGTGCTACATATTTGAGGAGCAGTCCATAATTATTTTTCTACGATATACGTTAGTTAGCTTACTGAAAGACAAGACGAAGGGTAAGAGAGTTAGCCAAAGGAAATCCCTCTGACCCAGTTCTCTCGCGGTAAATAGTTACCACGCACGTTGCGTGGACATTCTCTTGGCGAATCAAAACGCACGTAAAAGTCGTTTTAATAATAATAAAATATTTATATAGCGCCAATATCCTAAAAGTTCAAAAGCGCTTTACAGTTAAAAATATTAAAAACACTTAAGACAAATAAAGTAAACATAAAAAAATAAAAAATAAAAAAAAAAATTAAAAAATGTCGCTAAAAAGTTATAAAAATGCTTTCTTAAAAAGGAACGTTTTTAGTTTATGTTTAAAAAGGGACACTGAGGAGCTGTTCTTGATGTCAG